GAAAAAGCTACGTGTTGGACAAAAAGAATAGATTATAGATCCTACGAAGGGCCAAACAGAATAGGAAAGTACATTTAAGAGATGAACTGGACCCAGCATTAAAAAAGCCTAGTATCATATGACCTATACGAAAGATTGAATGATTGATCTGGAAGAGATAAAATGGAGGGAAAATCATAATGGGGAATGATACTTGCTGCAAAATTACAGATATAGGGAAAATCAAGTTTGTGAACTATGACAACTCCATTGTCATACTAACAAAAGTAAGGTACTCACAAACTGCAAAGAGGAATCTGATCTCATTGGGACAGTTAGAGTCACAAGGTTGTTGGTTCCAAGGAAAGGATTCCAGATTGAGAGTTTTCTACAAAGGAAAAGAAGCTCTAGCAGGTGACTACAAGGAAACTCTCTATATTTTGGATGGGAAGCCAGTAGTAGAGCAGGCAAACTCAGCTGTCAAGGAAGGAGATAAAACTATGCTATGGCACAGTAGGCTGGGACACATGAGTGAAAAGGGCTTACAGCTTTTAGCTAAGAAAGAAATGTTAAAGACAGAAGATATAGCAGAGCTAAAAGACTGTGAACACTGTGTTCTTGGCAAGTTTCATAAGTTATCTTACAAAACAGGAAAACATACTTCAACAGAAAAACTGGAGTATGTACATTCTGACTTATGGGGATCTCCTAATGTCACTCCAAGTCTGTCAAGGTGCCAGTACTACATTTCTTTTGTAGACGACTACTCAAGAAAGGTATGGGTATACTTCTTAAGAACCAAAGATGAAGCTTTCAGTAAGTTTGTTGAATGGAAGGCTTTTGTGGAAAATCAAAGTGGTAAGAAGCTGAAGACTCTGAGAACAGATAATGGTTTGGAATACTGTAACAAGGTATTTGATGATCATTGCAAGGTTAATGGAATCATGAGGCACAAAACTTGCCCCTACACTCCACAACAGAATGGCGTTGCTGAAAGGCTAAACAGAACAGTTCTGGAGAAAGTAAGAAGTCTTCTGAGTGAGACAGGACTAGGAGAGGTTTTCTGGGCAGAAGCAACCTCAACTGTGGTGTACATGATCAATAGAACACCATCCACACCTCTGAATTTTGAAGTTCCTGAACAAATTTGGACAGGTTCAAAACCTAACTATGAGCACATGAAGAAATTTGGATGTTTGGTGTATTATCATGCAGACCAGGGAAAATTGAAGCCAAGAGCTAAGAAAGGGATTTTCATGGGGTATCCACAGGGGGTTAAAGGTTACAGAATTTGGAGTTGTGAAGACAAGAAATGTGTAATCAGTCGTGATGTCACATTTAGAGAAGACATTCTCTACAAGGATCTGGTAAAGGAATCTATTTCAAAAGGGAAAGAGAAGATAGATATCATAATACCAAAAAATAGTCACTTAAATGTGGAAACAGGAGAACAGGGTGAGTCCTCAGCCGGAGGTGGAGCTTCTCAGAACTTAGAAACTGGGGAAAGCTCAGAACAGGAAACTGATTCAAGGGAATCACCTACAGGTTTGAGAGATTATCTCTTAACTAGAGATAGAGCAAGAAGAACTATCAAACCACCAAGTAGATTCGATGACAGTGATGTTGCTGCATATGCACTAACTATGGCTGAATTGGTAGAGGTTGAAGAACCATGGAACTATCAAGAAGCAATAAACAGTGTTGATAAACTGAAATGGAAAGGTGCTACTGATGAGGAAATGGCTTCACATGAGAAGAATCAGACTTGGAAACTAATTGAGAGACCTGAAGAACATAAAGTTATTGGTTGCAAATGGGTATTCAAGTTGAAACCAGGGATTCAAGGGGTTGAAGAACCAAGATTTAAGGCCAGGTTGGTTGCAAAAGGCTATGCTCAAGTGGAAGGGATAGACTACAATGAAGTGTTCTCACCAGTGGTGAAACACACCACTATAAGGTTAATGCTATCAATGGTTGTGGAGTTGGATCTTGAACTAGAGCAGCTAGATGTGAAAACAGCCTTCTTGCATGGAAATCTTGAAGAAAGGATACTCATGGAGCAGCCTGAAGGTTATGCACAAGGCAACAAGGTTTGTCTACTACAAAAATCCCTATATGGCCTTAAACAGTCTCCAAGGCAGTGGAACTTAAGGTTTGATAAGTTCATGAAGACTCAGAAGTTCATGAGGAGTGATTATGATTCATGCGTGTATTTCAAGTGTTATGATGAGGGGAAGTATGTTTATCTACTGTTATATGTAGATGACATGTTAGTGGCTGCAAAGGATCTGGAAGAGGTTGAGAAGGTTAAGAGGATTCTAAGCACAGAGTTTGAGATGAAAGATTTGGGACCAGCAAGAAGGATTCTAGGGATGGACATTATCAGAGACAGAACTAATGGTACCTTAATTCTATCCCAAGAAGCCTACATTGATAAAATTCTGAGGAATTTTGGTATCACTGATGCTAAGCCGGTTCAAACACCAATTGGGTGTCATTTCAAACTAAGGAGTACCAAGGAAGATGAAAAAGCTGAGACAGAATCTGAAATGAGAAACATACCTTACTCAAGCGCAGTCGGAAGCCTTATGTACGCGATGGTAGGGTCGCGACCAGACATTGCTCATGCAGTAGGGTTGGTGAGCCGCTATATGAGTTCTCCTAACAAGGAACATTGGAATGCAGTTAATTGGGTATTAAGATACCTAAAAGGAAGTTCGAAGTGTCACCTTACCTTCAAGAAGGCTGACAAGTTCGAGATAAAGGGATTCTGCGACAGTGATTATGCAGCTGACCTTGATCGGAGAAGATCAATCACTGGCTATGTTTTCCAAGTCGGAGGAAACACGGTGAACTGGAGATCGGGACTGCAACACATAGTCGCAGTATCATCAACAGAAGCTGAATACATGGCTCTAGCAGAAGCAACCAAGGAAGCTCTATGGTTAAAGAGAATTACCAGTGAGCTAGGGTTTGAGCAGAAGACAGTCGAGATCTTCTGTGACTCGCAAAGCGCCATTTGTTTGGCTAAGAACAGTGTCTTCCACGAAAGGACGAAGCACATCCAGATCCGTTACCACTTCATCAGAGATGTGATAGCAGAAGGAGATCTGGTCCTAACTAAGATCGATACAAGCATCAATCCAGCTGACCTCCTCACTAAACCACTACCAGTGAAGAAATTTGAGGATGGGCGTAGCGATCTAAGAGTGCTTAGACACTGACACTAGCTCGGAAGTGAGCTAGGGTTCCGACAGAACAATCGAAACAGACGGAGAAGACAAGGAGGACTTTCGGTTTTCTCGGGTATACGTCGGAATCAGGATCGAGGTGGAGTTTGTGAGGTTTCGATCCGGTATTCCTCCTGATGGGCTAGTAAGAAACTGTAGTTGGGCCTGCGAATCTCTACTAAGGCCCAGGAAGACTGCAGTGTTTGTCAAAGCCCATGAATCTCAGTCAACACTCTTGCTTTTGTCTTCATGTGTGTACGGGTGCAACGGCTACACAATAATAAGGTTTGTTACGCCTAGGTTTGATGCGTGAGCTGTCAAGGGGAGCGTGTCAGAGGTGTATAAAAGGGTAAGCAAAGAGTAAAGACAAAGATAGAGAGAGCGTGAGTAGCAAGCGGAAAGGTCTAGAGAGTCAAGAGAGATTTGAGAGAGCTTATCTCGGTTTATTGATCTCTGTTTGTTGAGTCTTTCTGGTTTCTTGTACTCGGTGTTGAAACGCTTAATAAGATACCTTGTGAGCTGGTCAGTAAGCTCACCAAGACGTACCTTGGTCACCTTGACCTTGGGAACTTGTAAATCTTGTGTCGCCTCTGTTCTTCCTCTGTTCTCTCTTCTCTTCTCCTCTGTTTCTTCTTCTGCAACAAAACACAAACAAAGCAAACAGAACCTGACAAAGTATTTAGCCAAAAGAGTGAGAAGAACCAACATAAGCAAAAGAGACAGTATTAAAATAGGAGACAAGGGATCTAATATCGTGAAGTAGGCCCACAAGCTCGTTAACTACTGCATCACTCTGGAGGAGATCGATAAGGGATTTTGAATCTGATTTCAGGTGGACATCTGAGAAGCCTCGAGAAAGAGCATCCTTTAGCGCTGCAACAACTGCTAGGGCTTCTCCCGTAAGGGCTGATGGCACAAAGGTAGCAAAAGCAGAGCCTTTGAAAACAGGGGATCCACTAGTATTTCTACCAATCCATCCCAAGCCACAGTGGCGGTTGCCTTCGCTCCAAGCTGCATCAGTTTCCAATAAAAGCGATCCTTCAGCTAGGGCAACCTCTCGGACCGTCGACGTGGTACTTGGAACAAAGGGGATCAAACCAAGGGGGCTCTCCACTTGAGCCGCTTGCCAGCTCCTTGCTTCCTGAATTGATTTGAGCAGGATTTCTTCTTTCGAGGAGTGGCGGTCTTCAAATAGAAGCTGGTTTCTGGCGGTCCACAAGTTCCATAGTATCCATGGGTAGATAGGTGAAACAGTAAGGCCTGTGGGAGGCATATTCTTACAGCCTTTTAGAGTAGAGAGAAGTAGCTTAGTCGAGGCCAACTGAGCACTCTTGATTTAAAAGATATAAATTAAATGAACAAATCGCGTAGAAGCATGTGAAAATTGATTGGAAATGATTTAAGATATCCCTCGTGACAAGTATAGCAATAGACGAATGTCCCACTAACACCATTGATTCATCCACGGGAGCCCCACGAAAACACACCTAAAATGATAATGTGGATGACTTGAAGGATTCTTTTTTGCTTTCAATAGTTATTACCAGAATTAATGTGACATCAAATTGTGGCAATAATCACTATACAATATATACCCAAATAAGTTCTTATTTTTTTTCTTTATCATGATCTCTATCATTTGGTAGGCGGTTAACAGCTCGATTGTAGACATTACAGATCACAACTCACGTAAGCTGCATATTCCCAAGAATGTCCAATTTCTTTTACTGTTCCTTTTAGGAATTTTAGCGTCATGCATGTAGACATATATGAGACATTTCGTTAACGTATAAAAATTGAGGATTTAACTTTTTTAATAAAAAAAAATTGGGATTTAAAAATAAGTTCGACATTTCCTAAACAATTGTTATTTAGTGACAGAAAATTTGGCTACTAATAAAAAAAATTGTTGAGCGAAAGAGTAGCTAAATAATAATTTGTGAACGAATTGAAATATTCTTAGATTTCCTAATGAATGGTGGATCTTTTTGAGAAAAATTGACCCATAAGGCCAAGAATCTCTTCACACTACTTTACCTATGTATATACTACACATATAAGTATGTGCGTGTGTGTATATAAACTCGAATCCATCACAAAGCCTATCCAAGAAAAGAAAAAAAAAAAAAAAAAAAAAAAAAAACCCAACATCTTTTGTCTTTGGAAGATGGGTTTCAAACATGTCTCTCTTTTCCTTCTTCTTTCGCTTCTCATACTCACAATCTTGTCCGGAGCCGACCAAGCTTTGGCTACTGACAAGAAACAGCATGTAAGCCAACGTAACAAAACGGCGTTGGCCGCCGCCGGAGGAGGAGGAAAAGAGGTGTTGAAAGGGAGGAAGCAGACGAGTGGTTGTAACCTGTTCCAAGGGAGATGGGTTTTCGATGCTTCTTACCCTTTCTACGATTCATCCACGTGCCCTTTCATTGACGGTGAGTTCGACTGTCTCAAATTCGGTCGACCAGACAAACAGTTCCTCAAGTACTCTTGGCTGCCTGATTCATGTACCGTCCCAAGGTATGTAACATCAACATTTACATAGATACATTTCAACATGATGATGTAACTTGTTATGTATATAAAATGTAAACGAAGGTTTGATGGGGAAGCGTTTCTGAAGAAATGGAGAGGGAAACGAGTGATGTTCGTGGGTGACTCACTGAGTCTAAACATGTGGGAATCGTTGGGATGTATGATATATTCGTCGGTTCCAAACACTAAGACCACTTTTCTCAAGCGTACCCCACTCTCGTCTCTCACTTTCCAGGTCTGTCTCTTTCCTTTTACCTTATTATAATTTAACATGCGTCTTTAGATAAAAACAAAATCTAATAATTCATCATCACGAGGACGACTTGTCATTTTGTGGAATCGAGTTTGTCACGGGCTATTTTTAAAGGAAGCCTTGTCGAATTTTGCTTTTGATTTTCTGGCGAGAAAAAAAAAAGGAAAGATTTTCAATGTAAAGTTGTTTTTGTGAATTAAAAAAAAAAAAAGGTGTTTTGCGAAAATGCTTGACATCCAAGGTATTATGATTTTGTCTGCCTGATGAGTGATGGCCTTCTTTTTCTTTATTTAAAAAAAATATATTTGATCATTTATTAATTTATTTTAAATATAATATAATAATATTGGCCATGGAGGAAGAACAAGGTATTTTACCAATGAAATTGATGTGTAATATCTATCAGCCGATATCAGCTTTGACTTAGTATTTTGGACATTTCTCTCGTGCCATTGTTAAAAAATAAGTAATTTAGAAATAAATGAATTATCACAATTAATACGTAAACAACAAAGATCCACTGGAAAGAAACAAAAAGAAGAGAACATAGCAGGAAAAGGATGTAGGAGACCTGACAGCTAATGACAACCAACTTGTTTTCTTCATTTTATTTTATTTTTAAATCTAGAGAACATGTTACCTTTTTTTTTTTTAATTGGTTTTCACGTTCTTTATAAAGTTACCTCTGTATTGGGGTTTTATTAAGAAAAATACTCAATTTCTATCTTTTAAATCCCTAATTTATCAGGAATATGACGTCACACTATTCCTGTACCGAACACCATACCTAGTGGACATCTCCAAAGAAAGTGTAGGGCGTGTGCTTAACCTTGGAGCCATCGAAGATGGTGCTGATGCTTGGAAAAACATGGACCTCCTCGTCTTTAATTCCTGGCACTGGTGGACTCACACAGGAGTACAGTCCCAAGGGTCCGTACTATATTATTATTACACTTAGAGCTATCACCATATATTGTTGGGATTAAGACATGCTCACTTAACCAAACTCATCTTCTGTTCTTCTATTGTTGTTGTTTTTTCAGGTGGGATTTTATAAGAGATGGGTCTTCATTAACAAGAGACATGGACCGTCTTGATGCTTTTAACAAAGGACTCACCACTTGGGGTCAATGGATTGATCAAAATGTTAACATTTCGCAAACCCGAGTTTTCTTCCAAGGCATTTCTCCCACTCAAACGATGCTACTAGGA